CTTATTCATTTATCGATAATTATAAAAAGCAAAAGTAGATGTAAGAATTTATAATTAAGTCCTATACACTTAAATACCAAAAATAAAATATAAATAGTAAGATCAATTAGAAAATGATAAGATTAAGCATTAAATTATTGATCAATTATCAATCGTTGATATCTCCAGCTTTGATGATAAAGGTGGATATAATTCTTATTCCATTTTTGTGGATAACACAAATGAATAATTTGAAGATGTACAATGTCACTCATCTCAATAGAAACGAATTTAATTGAAAAACCTACGTTCTCAAACAAGCATTATATCGTATCACTACTAGATTTTCACAACATTACTCTGATATTGCATAATTCAAGAAAGAAAAAAAATTGCACAACATGCATCTTAATTCAACTGAAATAGAGTATTGATTGTAAAGAAAGAGACGAGCCGCGATCGGTGGTCAAAACTTATGTTATGAGCCTGAAGCATTACATTCGGTCCTTTGGGACCACGACTACTGATTAATTCGATACTCGTCAATTTTTTTTATTTATAAACCTATTATGAAGTGAATGTTTTTCCTTTTGTTTAGCCATTTAATTGTTACAATGTTTATCTACCTTCAGAGCTAATAGAAAACCAATTATGAAAAATATTTCAACACTGATCGATAATCAAAACGACTGTAAGTTTCATAATAATTTTTTAACTATATAATCGCATACATGCGGGTTTGTCGAGGAATATATTTTCTATTAAATGTTTTATTTATTCCAAGATTCTTTTATACACACAAACCCAGGTTAGATTTCACTTGTTTCTACATGATTTTTATTGTTACATCAGAAAATTCGAGGTAAATCTGATTTTCTCATTTAATTTTTTCTGAGAATATACAGCATAATTCGATAACATACATGCAAGTAATTAGACAGAAGATTTCTTTCTCTACAAATCTACATATAATCTATTCTTTAGTCAAAATCTTATATAGTAGAGTGTTACTTGAGTTAAATTTCTTGCCATTTTCTCTTAGGATATAAGTGACTCTTTACATCAATATAACGAAAAAAGAAAGATAAAATGTAGATTCTTTAAAAAGCATTTGAAAATCTTTCAATTTACTGTAAAAGATTATTACTCATTGCATATATTAGCTCTTGAAGTGTGTATGAGCAAATTGCAATTATATTCTACGACTATATTCTTAAACACTACTATAAAACAAAAATCACGATTTTATTTCAAATACATCTCGAAATATCATACAAACAAGGTTCGAAAGATCAATTTTTACTACCATCTCTCATTAAACAAAAATGTTGTTGAACGATACTTTTCTCCGGTTATTTGAACTTCAGAATTTGGCGAATTTCTAATGTCGGATTTTTTTAAAAGTACTAACGACCATTTTTTGAATAACTTTTCAATGGCTCAAGCTACAAAGGTCAGGTTTTCACCGTTAGAAAAAGCAATGCAGGAGACGTCGATCTGTACAAAATTCATTAGGTTCAAGAGTCTTTTCGATAGTTGTTTTCAGACAGATACGTTTTTTTATGTCTATTTTCATGAGTTTTTGTGACAAGTTAACATCAAATTAGACCGAAATGAAGCCCAAATCTTTCTGTATTTGTGCTAAAATCTTCATATTTTAACATCAAAGCGTAAGGAAAAAAACCAAAGAACAATACGCAAAGGTTTGAAAATTTTAGCACAAATACAGGAAGATTTGGGCTTCATTTTGGTCTAATTTGATGTTAACTTGTCACGAAAACTCATAAAACTAGACGTCAAAAAAGATATCTGTCTGAAAACAACTATCGACAAGACCCTTGAACCTAATGGATTTTTTACGAATCGACGTTCTCCGCATTGCTCTTTCTAACGTTGAAAACCCGACCTTTGTAGCTTGAGCCATTGAAAAGTTATTCAAAAAATGGCCGTTAGTACTTTTAAAAAAATTCGACATTAGTAAACAGCCTATCCTTTTCGAATTTGACGTTGATTGAATCTCTCATGCGACTTTTATTATACTTTTTTTTCAATATCACATGTACAATCATTCTTTGACTTTCACTGACATGAAATTAAGAAATAATCTTGAGATTAAACAATCTATCTAAAAATGGTCGGCATTGGGTTGAATGAACGTCAGTAAATGGAAATAAAAACTGTAAAAAAAATTCAAGAAAATTGTATTATCGCTTGCTTGTAAAAACTCTGAAACACAACACTTGAAAATTTGTTTGCCATATGAGATTACAATTTGTATAACACTTCTCAAATGAGATCAAAATAAAGGTAATTCTTCAAATTATACACATCGCTTCATCCACATACAGGGATCTGCCTGGTAATGTGTGTAATGAGTATATATAAATTAACATAGAATCCATTATGTCAATCATTTGGTAAAAATAACATCACATCATGAATATATAGTATAAAATACACTATGAGACTCATATAATTGAGATTTATCAAATTTTAATTCTCCACCATATTTCAAGTACCACAAAGAAACTTCTTTCTACAAATAATCGAATGTATTTTTGTGATGCGTTCAGGAAAAATTTCTTATTTCCGGAGTTTTTCGACATATAAGTAAAAAATTCATATTCCGACATTTTTTGAAGAGTTTGAACGATGCTCGTATATCCTACTTATACTTATAGTGATAGTCGGGATGAAGATCTTCAATGGCATGTGAAGTTTCTCTTTTCTAAGCTTCAAATTCTTTCTTGATTCTGTGTCGATAAACTTCAGTAGCAAACCATCAAAGGATAGTACATTTAATAATGACGAAATCAGTACTTATATAATATAATTTCTGATTGCAATAAATCATTTGTATGAGTAACAATCATTGATCTATGTTGTGGTGCAGATTTGGAATACATTGAGTTTCTTTCAATCGGATCGAGCCGATCCGTTGAAATTCTTAGCTTAACCAGTAAAAAACCAGTTGTTCCCAATTACAGAATTCAACCAAGGGTTAATTGATCTGTTCAAAATATCATTTGATAACCTAGGGTTTTTGAAAAAAAAGTTCATCAGTATGGTCCAACATAGACATAATCTGTGAAATTTCAATCGCTCTTATGATTCTGATAGTAGTAATTATCTATTTCAGGCGATTGTGTTCCAACTACGAAAGTAACAAGAACGAAAGACTAAGATTTTTGAAATTTCCAAGTAGAAATTGATTGCAACGGATATAGAATAATGTTTTTGGCTTCTTTAAAAGATTTGATCTGTTTAATATCATTTTTCTTTATTTGAAGTCATTATTTAATCAACCGAATGATATCGGAAATGATGTAAGGTATGTGATATCAGTAGAAGAAAGAAAGTGCGCCCGTTTCACGAATAAATTTTGAAATCGGATTTTATATGCTACGCTTTTTTGAGACCTAAGTGTTTTCATAGATGTACAACGCTCCAAACGTTGACAGAGCTTTCAGGACAAAATGAAAGATTTCCGCCTATTTAAAAAATGAAAACATACATAGTTTCCGATGAAAAGCTGGACTTTCGATGACAATTATAAGTCAGCTCGGAATGTGAAGCTACTATTTCTGGTTAGTAAAATCATGCCAATCAACAAAAAAAGCTAGCAAAAATAAACTAGTGCCAATACTGTATAATTTAGAAAAAAGAACAGGATATAAACTGCTCTGTTCTGTTCCAAAACTTTCGTGGTTCATGATAAGTTAAAGCGGAAAAGGATCGGCAATTGAACATTAAACTAGAAAAACAAACAACACAAGCAGGTACATACAATGTTCAGACAAGAATTAGAATGAAAATGCAGCGAATAATCTAATTCGTTGTATCAAATGATAAAACTATCATATTCTCAAATAACTAAACAGCTAAATAGATGATATTTCTAAGACTAATAGAAATTAGGATTACCTCTTTATCGTAGATGACAATTACTCATTGTAGATGTCGTGCTTTGAAAAATCTTTGGCGGGTATTCGATGAACTAAGCTCGTATTTTTTTGATATATGAACGTTCACAATTACGTTGGGTGTAGCGCCATGTTCATTAAGCCCTCATAGCTCAGTGGCCTAGAGCGTCGCTCTTGTAAAGCGAAGGCCCCAGGTTCAAATCCTGGTGGGGGCAAATTTGTAATTTTTTTTTCAGAACATTCTCTAATTCTTTGATTTCATTGTTCAATAAAAGAGTTTTATTTTTGATCAAAACTCATTGATAAGTTTACAAAAAAAGATTTCGGCTTTTTCGAATGTGTGAAAAATTTTGTTTTTAAGCTCATAAAACTTTAGGAAAACAATACCAAATGCATGGTTGACTTCTATCGTTTTATAATTGAATAGCGATCAATATGATGCTCCATATTTAGTCTTCGACTAATGATACTGCAATGCATATTTCAATAATTGATGGTTTCACATGAATAAATATATCATCTTCAATTCATCTATAAAATAATCGAACTTTACATAGTAAACATGTTGGCACGATTACTATACTATATTCTACTGTTTAGAATATGAATTTTCTTAATGACTAATATTATCTTCGACACATCATTTTTCTCATTTAAGTTTGATAGACGGAGTTCAAAAGTCTATCACTGATTCCACACCTTACATTCATATACTATAGAAAAAAGAATGTCCACAGAAAAAGAACATCATACATATATTAGAAGTAGCAATACTTATAGAAAGCTAGTTTATATTAATACATAAATAACTATCGTTCTCTCATATTTAACTCTATTAAAAATGAGTGAATTATGCTGAATAAGAGATTTAGATAAGTTATGTAGATAGACAAGTTCATCGTCGATTATTTTCTGTTGATGTTTCGGGTATTTCGTTCGTTCTTTTCCATAACAATTCTTCTTAAGAAAATTTTTAACACTGCAATGAATTTTAATACACAGTGAAATATACAAACAACCGATGGTTCTTTTTACATAGACAAATACACAGAGATATACGTTTCATTTTGCTAGTCAATATAACTTGATATCGAATTGCTATTTTTCTATTTTCTTAAGAGTTAACGAATTTTGATCACTTGGAGGTGTTATTATTGTTGTTAAATTATTCAATTTTACACTTGGTTGTCTTTTCTGTTGTGCTTGTCGACGTCGTGTAAATAACAACATTGAAATAAAAGTTAATATTGGATATGATTGTAAAATAGTTGTATTAATAATATCCATAGCTGTCTTAAGATCTGGTGAAAAACGAGACGGATTAATAATTATACTTAAATTGTAAAATGATACAGGACAATAACAAAGACATGACCAAATAACATAAATACTCATTTGTTTAACAATTTTTTGTAGAGCAGACCATTCGGGTCTTCGATTAAACATTGTTCTTTGTTGATATAAACGAAATAATAAATAAATTGTTGAAATAATCATTACTAATTGTGGTATAAAAAAACTTATCATAAGCCATGGAATCATATAAAGAAATCTTGTTGTGTAACAACCAATACATCGTATAAGTGTACATGTGGGCATTAATGTAAAAAGTATTGCTATGAGATACGAATAAACTAAAATACATGTAACTGGTAATAATTGCCGTTGCCATGTTAATAAACCATTTTTATGAAATATTAAAAAATGTCTTTCAATACTTGCATATGCCAATGATGTAACCATTCCAATATTTACTGTTAAATAATGAATAGTTGATATTGCACAAAGAGAAAGAGAATATTGAAAAAGATTTAAATAATGACCGATTAAAAAAGTAGGTGATCGAATCACTGACGAAAGTAAACAATAGATTAACATAAAATAAAACTAAATTCAATTATTAAGAATAATTTATCATTTTATTTTTACTTACTACATATGTATAATGAGTTCGTAAATCAGAGTTTTTGAAATATTTTATTATACACAAAATACTAAAAATTGTTCCAATAATGATTCCTATGGAATTAATAATAACAAGTGGTCGACCTAATACTAATACTGATATTTTAATATCAGTTAAAGTTTGATTTTCATTATTCATATTGATGTGTTATTTAATTTGATTAATTTGAAATTATTTTTTTCAATATATTCTAAATAATATGAAATAAAACTTTTGTAGTTAATTGCATATTAATACCGAGAATAAATGAAGTTACCTGGTTTATTTCAAATGTCTTTGAGAATAGTCCGAATAAAAGAATATTAATTATGATGACTGTTTAATATCAATGTGAATCAGAAAATAAATCAAATATGTAATGTAGTATAACAATTTTTTTAAGGACAAATAAAAGCATTGAAAAGATTTCATTATGTGAAGTATTAGAAAGTTATTGGCAATATTTAATAATGTAAAAAGAAATATGATTATCAAAATTCATCTCGATGTGTCACTCTATCTATTTGTAAACATATTACAGATAATGATGGAGACATAAAGCAATAACATCAATAATATGTAAACATGTTATCTCAATTTGCCAAACACAAAAAGAATAAGATTCGTTAGCGATTGATTTCATTTCATATTGATCGAATGTTAATGAATTCTAACTATTAACTTTTATATTATCCGACATAAAAAGAACTTTTTTGATGTTTTTACTTTCAATCTTTAAATGATAATAATTGTTAAGCATAAGATTCTTTCGAAAATAAGACAAGTTATAGTGAATAATGAAACGCAAATACATATAAAAATGAGATGGTATTACACCATAGAATATCAAAATCAGAAATAAAATTTCTTAATAGAAAGAAATAGATTTTACTTAGTACGGTTTTGAGATCTCTCTACAACTCATCATCATTTTCCTCGACATAAAAAATAAAAAACGATGTGCTTTTCATATCATGAAAAAAAAATTTAAAATGTTTACTATTTGAAATATAAGATGTATCAGAATATTTGTATACTAGACAGAATACGTATCATTCAAAATAAGTTGAGCATCGAGTTCATCAGAAAACAGCTATGATGGAATTAATTGAAAAGAACAACGATGCCAGAAATAAAAAAAGACAAAAAACAGTATAAATAAACAGACAAGAATTCGTTGATGTATTCATACAAAAGTAACTAATCAATAATTTAGTAGATACTATTATATTCGCCCTCCCAGTCGAAGATTATTTTTCAAAACGAAAGAAAATGTAAACTGTAAGAACTCCAAAATAATGTTATTTCAAAGTTTATGATGAAATATAGTATTCAAAATAGTTGCAGAATACGTTAGTCTATTTTAAACAATCTACAATGCATAATCATTTCATGTATTCTTCCAAACATACATAAGCAATATTTCTGCTTGAATTTGGTCGGTTCATAGTTTAAAATCCTAGGACACGCATTCGCGTCGTCTGAACTCAAAAGGTTACGAAATACCATTTGATTAAATATAGTTTCAAAAATAGATATTTTTGTCCTACGGTACATTCACTTGTTGTCATTGCGATTATTTATAAACCATACAGTTTCTGCAGATATCATATTTATTACTGTGAAAAACAATATCAAGTTTCATCTGTTTGTTTTAACCAATGTTGTGTTTATTTGATAAATTTATTCTTTTATTAATTTCTATTATAAAATTCTTTATAAAAATTTGTTCACCCTCTCAATAACAGGAAGAAAGAAACGGAGATTCAAATCAAACCTGATTCATTTAATAAGGAATGTAAATGCTCACACAAAAGAAACTGAATCAGAAAAAGAATATTTAGATTATCATTCTCTACTCGTTGCATAGGAATTTTGTTTGGACAAAATTGTTCATTGAATTATTTACCGCCAGTTGTTCCCATACCCATAGCTGTTTTGAATGTATCATAAATCCACCATTGAAGACCAGTCAATGTACCAATCATAAGAATACGTGTACCGAGACCCTAGAAAATTTATTCAAATGAAATTGTAATCAAATGTGTATTCAATTTAATTCAAAGAAACAAACCTTAGTAGCAAGTTTAACAAATCCAGTTTCATTAATAATTTGTCCTAAACTCTTGCCTTTATTAGCTGGTTTACCAAGAAGAGAAACAACTGAATCAGCAGGATGTGAAACAATAGCACAAATAACACCAGCTGTATAACCAGAAGCAAATGTAACACCGAGTTGGGTTGTTTTTGAGTATGTATCTTTTGGTTTTGTAAATACATATGTATAAAATAATTGTACAATCTACAATATTCTTTCATGAAAATTGAACTATTATTATTTAAGAAAAAAACTAACTTTTTCGAAGAAGAAAAATTTTGCTACTGTATAAGGAATTTGTCGTGACCATAATGGTATAAGGGATCGATATGGAAAGCCAGTTTCTGCTCGATGAGCATTCATTTGTGACCAAGCTGAACCAAAAGCTATTGGAAATGTACCTTTTGGTGCTGTTTGTACTTTGACTTTAACCATCTCAAATGGACATAAAGCAATATCAGCAAAAAATTCTGCTGATGCTGATGCTGCACACCAAACAAGGCCTTTGTATTTGTCAAAATTTTCTTTACCGAGCATATTAGCATATTGATCTTTGAAGATTTCATAAAGACCATATTTGAATGCTCCTTGTGCTGAATAGCCAAAAAGTGTCGGTAACCAACCTTTCCATACAGCTTGACTACCTTCTTCAGCGACAATTAATCGAAGACCTTTGACTAAACCTTTGTATTTATCAGAATTGACCTGTAGAGAAAAATAAGCAAAATGTTATATGTATTATTAGATATGAATAACAAACTCATAGATAGATTTATAACATAAATTTGCACATGTTTGCAGCTGAGGAAAAAATCGTCGTCTAACTGTTTTTGTCATTGAAATGTTTACGATGAAAAAGAAAAAAACCAAGCACACTTATATAATGTACACAGAACAGAGAAAATGATTGAGTGTTGTATTTTTTTTATGGTTTTTACCTTCAAGGACAAAAATTAAAAACATTAGAAAAACAACTATTCATTACTAGACTTTTCCGAAATATATTTCGAAAAGACTTTCATTTTATATACTACCATTATTCTCTATGAAAAATAATTTTTTTTAAGCCACATACTTGCATGTTACATTTTGTAACATCGAGTGGACAAATAGCTGTATGGGTAAGACCACAAGCAAGAATACCGCCAAGAATACATTTTGAATAATATGATGTGTCATGTGGAACATGACCAGCATACCGAGAATCCCATTTAGCTGGTATTCCTGTTGATCCTGCTGTTGGTAATTGACTGCTTGGTATGACCATCTCTCGTCGACTGGAAAAGTAGAAAAAAGATCTGGAAAATACAAATGAAAAATGAAAGGATTGATATAAAAAAAAAATGTTTTGACAAAAAAAAGACTAAAATTTTTATATAACTTCTACAGAGTATTTTAGACATCGAAAAATTATAGAGAAATTGTGATGTGATGAAGGAGAAAACGGCCATGAAAATAAAAAACAACATTTGCTAGGTAAGGGATTGATCAATTCATTTTTTATTGTTGATCAGTAGATTGATGACAGAAAAATTGAGTAAGTCTGAATTTTCAAGCGTGATTGAAATTTTCCGCTTTTGTTGAAATTTCCCACTTAGCTTTTATTTAATATAAAGAACTATGTTCGATTCCCAGTGCCCTCTATCAAATTGAAAATTGGTTTTGATCAATAATGTTTAGTTCTTTAAAAACTATAATCGTATAGCAATGATCGGCAAAGTCTTATTTTAGGTACTTTGCTTATTTCTTTATTGTTGACGTCTTTAAGGAAAATAAACGATTATTTTCGATCTATATTAAATTCATTATAAATGAATAGGTTTTCTAGAACTTATTTAATATGAAACTTAATTGTTGTTTTTATCTAGACTAGTTACGAACATTCAATTTTAAACGAATTTTGAAATATACAGGGTGATCCAAAAGTCACCGGCCATTCAGTCTTTAATTTTGAATAACATTTGATAGAAGCGAGATAGAGAGCTGCAGCTTTCACCGTTCGGAAGAGAGTGTTACTACATAGTTTCATGTATTACTCAACGACCTTGTCTGATAATCAATTGATGAGTCTTGGAAAAAACAGTGACAGCTCTATAAAGACAGCATGAAAGTTCAAATCTAAGAAGTGCACTAGACCCGCGTACTTATAATCCATGCCCACAGCCTCATCGCCTAGTGTCGCATTTATAACTTTTGAATAAAGCCAGATAAAATTTTTGGCTATAGGCATGACAATGGATTTTAAGGACGCGAGCCTAGTGCACTTCTTAGATTTGAACTTTCATGCTATCTTCATAGAGTTGTCACTGTTTTTTCGAAGATTCACTAATTGATCATCAGACAAGATTGTTGATTAATACATGGAACTATGCAGTAACACTCTCTTTCGAACGGTGAAAGCCGCAGCTCTCTATCTTGCTTCTATCAAAAGTTATTCAAAATTAAAGACTGACTGCCCGGTGACTTTTGGACCACCCTGTATATGTGTCATCATTGTAAAAAATAGTGCACAATGTGAACAAATACTTTACTGGAATTTATAATTGTCATAAATAATGATAAATAATATGGTTTATAACTTTCTTAAGTAGTAATCATATTAGGATTGATGTTTATTACTAAATCATGCCTCTATATTATCAATATTTTAATTGAAAGAAATTTTGTATGAATACATCAACAGATTGACTATTGAAATTGAGATTTCATTATAGTATTTAGTTAATTTCTGGATGAAGATTATTTCACTAATAGTTTTAGACATTGTATGTATGTAATAAATCTATTTAGATACAAATATGTTGGATTGATAGATGATAACAATACTATTATCTTACATGTTTATTACTAACAATTTAAAATATACGGATGTATTCTTAATCAAAAAAACCAAATTTGTAATATGATGTACGGTCAAAATAAGTTGGTCTAGTACATATATTGGTAATAGAGGGATCAATGAAAACAATAAATTCGATAGAATATTTTCCATCTGAATGATATCAACAGACAGAGGCACATATATATTGAAATATCATGTTCATCTAAATACGTGATATCA